ACCGTGGGGTCACGAGGATAATTTGCAGTTGCCTTAGTCACATCGACAGCCGTCACCTAATGCTCCCCCTTACAATTTCACCAGATACTGACATGCGACAGGGTGCGAATGTCGCTGGGTGGTGTTTCCGCCTTCGCAATCATCGGACAAGCCCTGATGCATGCAACCGCCACCATGCACGGCTTTGGTTCACCATGTCTCTCGGGCCTCACGCAACCTGGTGGCCCAAATCCATAAAATCCATAATAATGCAGATGCATCTATATAGTCATCATATCATCGTAATAATTACAGTAGTAGTAGTAGTGATAGCTTAGTCTTGGCTGCAGCTTTACCGTTCGTCCAAGCTAGTCTGTGTTACTGAAAGAGGGCATAGTCCGTCCACTCGGGGTCACCCAAGGGGTATCCACCCGCCAAGATGGTACACGGTTGCATTCCCAGTGGACTTTGCCGACGGCGCCAACTTTGTGCCAGTGCCACCCCTGAAATGCAGACCCTTATACACATATCGTGCCCCACTTGTAGTGGTCCGTGTGTGCTGCAAGCGGCACCGATGGACACAATATGGGTTGTGCGGCATCATCACCACCATACCTTCCCTCCGCTGGGTCGTGGCCAACTCGGATGGCATGCCGAGCTTGGAGCAGCATACCACGCCGCTCAACACAACCATCCCACCCAACCATACAGACTGCTCCGGGGCCCCTGTGGAGGCTCGTTGTGGAGGCAGGGCTGTCTCCGCGCTTTGGAACACACTCACTGCACTCTGAAGGTGTGACCGCTGCCGTTAACAACCGTGCGGATTGCAGCTTGGTGCAGAAGCTGGGTGCTGGAAGAGTGCGGAGGTTTCGAGAGCATAATGGTGAAGACAGCACCGCGGCTGGGGCATGGGTGATGACCCTCTTGACCTATACCGACCAGCGATCGTTGCACTTGTGGGTCCTTTCAAGACCTGTCATTACTATCGGCCACTAGTGCAACTTTCACAATGGGTTGGTGTTGGGAGGGGGTTTCGCAACGGGTTGTTTTGCTACGGAGTTGTGCTTGTGGTTGGCGGCTTAGCTACTGTAACGCACCACGGCAGGACTGAGCAATAAGCTTCGACTTCTCGAAGCGAAGTATGAGTGTAGAGATAGGCAAGTTATTGCGAAGGAACTGCCGTGGTGCGTGGAAGTAGGGCGCATGCATGCATGCATGTGCCGGACCGCAGTACGGCAGGGGACGCCGAGCTCCTACTTGGGTCCCACAGGCGCATTGGCTCTTTAACTGCCGTTGATTTGACTATTACCAAGAGGTGTGTCCCGCTGCTGGGACAGTGTCCTCTAGTTTCCCCCCACCCGCCCACGGGTCGGTATCGTACTAATTGTCCTTTAATATGGGTTTAAGATTGGAGTACCCGTACCGGTGCGTTCTCTCGTCAATTTTCTGTGCCTCGTCGTTCCCCCCACCCACCCAGGGCAACCGCGGGGGTTGCCACCAGGGTTGGACAGGACCTTCCTGAAATGGTCGGGTTGCCGGTTTTCCCCTTCCCATGCCCGTCGGGCCCACCCGATAGCGTTTTTGCATATCTTTTAATTTCTGTCGGGTGCCCCGATAGCCCATCCCAAAACCTGTCGGGTGACGCAAGAACGAAATTTCGCTGTGTGCCGCTTGAAATTACATTTATTCGTATTTTATATGCGCAGTTTCCAGTTCTCAGTTTGCAGTTCACAGTTCTGATATGCACGAACAAACACACACACACACAGCAAAACATGCACGCCTGCACGTCTGCCTGTGAGCATCAAGCTGTTTTGGTAAAGCCCACAGACTTACAGGACGAGGCAGCAAACGTTCGAAAAGGTAATGTAAAGCTGCATATGGTCTTTTATTAATTGTCAATAAGGTCGAGATAAGGTAGTGTGCCCTTCGCTTATGTATCCAAGCATGGATCCCTGTACAGCAGAGTCAAAGGATAAAGAAGAAGAGGCAACGAAGTGAACGAATGCTACCACTACATTACATATTTCCATCCAGTTAAATTTTTATGAATGCCAGTATGTATCGCTGTAGCTGTCCGTCGCCGAAGGGCCCACCGACGACCCACGGCACCCGATCGGGTGGTCCTAGCGCCCCTAACC